TGATTCTCTAAAATCTATTACCTCGAAGCAGCCAGAATAATACAAATCAGAACATGTCACTCTTCTAAAAACCCTCTAAACGAATTCCCATCACTCCCAGTAAAATTTAGAATTGTCTCCTATCCCCTATTGCTAACTAGTGTGTGGGCTGACCTTGACCATCATTATATAATACAGAAAGGTGACCAGGTACAGCTGGAAGAAGCATGTCCTTGAAAGGACCTCCCCACACCTCCCTAACCCAGGGTTCTAATCCACTATCATCCTCAATTGTAACTGTCTTCAAAACAAAATGACAAATAAGTCCTCCTTTAAATGTAGAAAGGATGTGAAGGGTTAAATGAGAACAAGTCAACTTTCTTTCCCCTCCCCTCCCAAACATAAACTGACAAATACACACCTTCTTGCTTGCCCCATGGGGCACTGGCAACCCAGAATGGAGGGAGGGCAGCCAGCACTGGGGAGAAACTTCAGTCTGCCCTGACTGCATCCACCCTCTATTCTCACAACCCCTACAGCCTCTTCTCCATAGCTCACCTTCCTTGCCCTCCACTCCCCTACACTGCAATGGTATGCCTTGCTCTGGGAAAGAGAGAACAGGCATTGCTTTTGAGAAATCTGCATATTAGGGGAGAGGACAAAGAACCAGGTAAACAAAACAGACTAGACTCCTCCCTGTTCTCCCCTAGTCATGCTTCACTATCCAAATCTCTGCCTTGAAAGTTCCTCCAGCTGGGGATTCCCTATGCACCCATGTCCACACCATCTGTGACCCTTGCCACTGCCAGGGCCAATGAAAAACTCACCCTTCACCCGCTGAAGACTTGCTGAAAAAATCACTGACAAGAGACAAATTAACAGAAGAAAAAGCAAACAAATGTATTTGATCATAATTGTATGTGAGCCTTCAGAATGAAGACCCCAAGATACAGGGGAATTGTTCATTTCTATGTTTAGGTTCAAGAGATTATGGACTGTGTAGAAATACGATTGGACAAGAAGGGTAGGATCTAATAGTAACAGACTGAGAGGGGAAACCCAGCAAGGCCTGTCTGGATTCTTCTTGGCCTCTCTGCGCAGCATTCCTTCCTTCTGGACGTGGGATGGGACCCTCTCTGGAATGGGTATGACAGTCAAACAAGGTAGGTCAGATCATTTCTTTCTGACCAGTTTTTACACAGAAAGGGGAGTGGGGAGTGAGAGGACCGTTTTTAGGTTTTATGACTGGCTTTGGGTAAAACCAGTTCTGGTTTCTGATGACCTGCCTTGGGGAAGAGGGATTCTAGTTTCTATGGGTAGCCTTGGGGGAGAATGAGAGGCCAGAAACAAGAGGGCAGGAGAAGGTCAGAGAGAAAATTTTGCTTCGGGGGCTGCTTCTGAGCCCTTCGTTTTAAAGTATCAGAGATGATCAGGGGCAGCCTGGCTCTGGGTAAGGTCTACAGACGTGTGAGTGCTGGTCTTCCACACTGGTTGCCGAGCTCTTTTAAAGGGTGGTTTTCAACCTTGGCTGCATACTGGAATGACCCCAGGAGCCTTAAGAAATATTGCTGGCCTTGGCCGGGCGCGGTGGCTCAAGCCTGTAATCCCAGCACTTTGGGAGGCCGAGACGGGCGGATCACGAAGTCAGGAGATCGAGACCATCCTGGCTAACACGGTGAAACCCGTCTCTACTAAAAAATACAAAAAACTAGACAGGCGAGGTGGCGGGCGCCTGTAGTCCCAGCTACTCGGGAGGCTGAGGCCGGAGAATGGCGTGAACCCGGGAGGCAGAGCTTGCAGTGAGCTGAGATCCGGCCACTGCACTCCAGCCTGGGCAACAGAGTGAGACTCCGTCTCAAAAAAAAAAAAAAAAAAAAAAAAAAAGAAATATTGCTGGCCTGGCGCTATGGCTCATGTCTGTAATCCCTGAGCTTTGGAAGGCTGAGGCAGCATGACTGCTTGAGCCCAGGACTTCGAGACCGGCCTGTGCAAGATAGTATAAGAGCCTGCCTCTACCAAAAAATTAAAAATCAGTTGGGTGTGGTAGTCCACGCCTGTAGTCCCAGCTACTAGGGAGGCTGAGGTGGGAGGATATCACTTGAGCCCAGAAGTTAAGGCTGCAGTGGGCCATGATTGCACGACTGCACTCCAGCCTAGGTGACAAGCAAGATTCTATCTTTTTAAAAAAAAAAAAAAAAAGGTGCTTGGAGCCTACCCCAGAGATTCTGATTTAATGATTTTTATACTGCACCCCCACCCATCCCCCAACTGTGCCAGGTGCTTCTACTGTGTATCCAAGATTGAGAACCACCAGCTTTACAGCAAGGACATTTGCCTACAGTCTTTGAATTTTCTTGCATTTATTTGCATATGGATTCTCAGTTAATCAAATAAATAAAAAGAAAACCTGTAAATGCTTGTCAAAGGCTGCTGAAGCTTCAAGTCCAAAGCCCACAGAGATTAATGACTTTAAATTGTATGGTCCTTTAGAATCATGCTTCTCAAAGTGTGACCCATGGACCAGGAGAACATCAAGATCACCTGGAACCTGTTAGAAATGCAGAGGCTGGCCAGATGCAGTGGCTTACACCTGTAATCTGAACACTTTGGGAGGCCAGGAGTTGGAGACCAGCCTGGGCAACATATGGAGACCCCCATCCCTACAAAAATAAAATCTGTTGGGTGTGGTGGCGTCCACCTGTAAGCCCAGTAACTTGAGAGGCTAAGCCAGAACAGCTTACACCCAGGAGTTTGCAGCTGCAGTGAGCCATGATTGGGCCACTAACTACACTACAGCCCGAGTAACAGAGCAAGATCCTGTACCTAAAGGAAAAAAAAAAGCAGAAACTCAGGCCCACCCAGACTGCCTACTGGAATCTTGAGAGCTGCAAATCATTGATTTTCAGCACAAACCATTTTGCCCACCCCGACCACTGAGAGACTTGAACAAACACTAGCAGTTTCTAGCAGCTCAAGGCCGTGTCTCAGGGATAACCCAGGCCCCTTTGGGTCCCTGCCTGGGGAAGCTCAAGGCTGCCAAAAGAGTTTACCATTTGTTTCAGTCAATGCCTGATCATAGGTTTCTAATCTCCCTCTTGTTTTTTTGAGATGGAGTCACACTCTGTCACCCAGGCTGAAGTGCAGTGGCGCGATCTCGGCTCATTGCACCCTCCGCCTCCCAGGTTCAAGCGATTGTCCTGCCTCAGCCTCCTGAGTAGCTGGGATTACAGGTGCGTGCCACCACGCCCAGCTAACTTTTGTATTTTTAGCAGAGACGGGGTTTCACCACATTGGCCAGGCTGCTCCTGAATCCCTAACCTCAGACGATCCACCCACCTTGGCCACCCAAAGTGTTGGGATTATAGGCCTGAGCCATGGCACCCAGCCCCTCCCTCTTCTTAGAGGACTTACTTGATAAAATTTACAATTGTAAATCCTTTCTGTCCCTTTGAGGGATGTATGTGTCTTCTGCTGCACAGGAATGTGTTTCTCACTTTTTCTGGGAGCCATCCCTTTGTCATATAATTATCAGGAATTATAAGGCCGACTCCTGGTCTCAGTGGGAGACTAGAATCCTAACTTCGATAGATAAACTTGAGAGTTAGCAGACACAGATAGCCTAATCACATTGACCAATCTCCTTAACAGCTTTTTGTAATTTTCCACTTTCCTAGTTCTATTTGAACCTCCTCCCTCCCCTCTTTAAAATTCCATCACCTCTGCACAGATTGGAGCTAAGCTCAGTTCTACACTGAGGACTCTCTCCTTCTGCAGTAGTTATTGAGTAAAATCTGTCATTATTGCCTTTAGCTAGTATCCAGCTTTTTCTTCAAGTCTCCATTTGAATAAGGTCCTTACATGATGTGCATGTACATTACAGTCTGAGAAGCAGCATCATAATACTTACCATTCCCTCAGTGACTTATAAACAGCCCTGAACGGGAAGGAATTACACCCATTTTGCCAATGAGTTAGATCTTTGCTTAGTATCACACTGGTAAACTAGAAATTGAATATGCCTCATGACTCAATCCAGTGCTCTTTCCAAAATGACGTGCTAACCAGAAAGAGAAGACCACACTGCATGTGAGGACCCAGGGGAAAAAAGCTGGTGAGAGCTCACAAAAACCCAAAAATGTTTCTCTTGCTGCATCTCCATTGGTGCAATGTCCTCTCAGGCTTTTTTTTTTTTTTCCCCCTTGATACCGAGTTTCGCTCCTGTTGCCCAAGCTGGAGTGCAGTGGCACGATCTCGGCTCACTGCAACCTCTGCCTCCTGGGTTCAAGTGATTCTCCTGCCTCAGCCTCCCAAGTAGCTGGGATTACAGGCATGTACCACCCCGTCTGTCTAATATTTTGTATTTTTAGTAGAGATGGGGTTTCACCACGTTGGCCAGGCTGGTCTCGAACTCCTGACCTCAAGTGATCCTCCTACCTCGACCTCCCAAAGTGTTAGGATTACAGGCGTGAGTCACCACACTTGACCTCAGGTTCTTCTTTAGTTGCAAGAGTTTCAGCATCAAGTGTCTTAGGTATTAAAGTTGTAAGTTTAGGTATTGAGTTACCTATCAGTAGCTGGAGTACCAGGGATGACAGGTACCAACGCTGTGCAAGTACCAAAGGCTGTGGCCTCAAATGCTGCAAAAGCCCAGCCCTTTATGGGCCTGTGCATACTCCGTGCAGCCACTGCTACATGAAGTCAGATGCAGGCATGGTCTTAGTGGGTCTTAGTCCTGAACCACTCACCCCTAACTCAATCTGCATACTCAATCCCGATGCTCTCCTACTTTCCCAGCTTTACGTCCAACGTCAGTATCCATTCTTGCTTTCCTGGGTAAACACTGACAGCCTTCTCCTCCTGGCTGGGCCACTCCCCTGGGTAAACACTAATTCCTATTTCCACCCCCACCTTTCTACTCCTGGGCCAGTTTCATGTCTTGAATAGACTCCCTGCGGCCAAGCTCCCTGGTGGCTCTTGATGATGTCACTCAAACTTACATGACAAAATTCAAACAAAAAAGATTAAGAAATTAAGTTATATTTCATTATCGCTATGTCCTTTCTTCTGATTTGCCAAATTAGGCTAAAAGACCAACAGAAAAACAGCTGCCAATTTTAAACACTTCCAAAGTCATTCCTCTAGGAAAGAAAGCAAAATTACTAACATGAATGACGGGATGAATTCTTCCTGGTCATTTTCAAACCACTTAGATAGCTAGAACCAGAGGAATCCCCCCAGGCACTTTACCCCTTAGCCATGGAGAATGCTGACTTTTTTTTACTTTCAGCCAATTATATGGTAAATATAATTCTTAGTTTTATCAGAAAATCTTGTACATACAGGTGATTTCTGGTGCATAATTTTATTAAAGTCAGAGATGGTCACTTCTTCTAGAGAAACAGATCTCTGAGGTTAGAATGGAAGATAACGAAACGAGAGATTTCACTTTATAATTTACCTTTGTCAAACTATCCTGGAGCATGTCAATTCTATTATGAAAGTATTACTTCGACATTGTATAACCAGTTATCAATAGAAAACACTCATGCCAAAAACCCTTAAATTCTGTAATCTTCAAGTCAATCATCAACTTTTCTTGGATTTTTGAAGACCCAAAAAGAAAAATAATTTCAAACAGCAGCACTCAAACACCATATGCATTTGTAATGAGGCACAGCAACCAAATTTTTTTTTTTTTGAGATGGAGTCTCAGTCACCCAGGGTGGAGTGCAGTGGCATGACCTTGGTTCACTGCAACCTCTACCTCCCAGGTTCAAGTGATTCTCCTGCCTCAGCCTCCCAAGTAGCTGGGACTACAGGTGCCTGCCACCACACCCAGCTGATTTTTGTATTTTTAGTAGCGACAGGGTTTCGCCATGTTGCCCAGGCTGGTCTCAAACTCCTGACCTCAAGTGACCTGCTCACCTCGGCCTCCCAAAGTGCTGGGATTACAGGTGTGAGCCACTGCACCCAGCCCAGCAGTCAATTTTAAGGCTTGTATTTTCCAGGTTTTAGCTTAATAATCCTCATTAGTTTTTCAGATTTTTGTCAGTCTTGTTTTGGGGCTATTTTGCCTTACTGGGCCTAAACAGAATATTAAAATACATTAATAATCCATACTGAGAGTAGAGTATAAATGGGTTTCTCACTCCTTAGGGACACAAGTGGAAACAATACATCCCATGAACACAGATGAATGCCCCTGGTTATCCCTGAGCTGGGCAGTTTCACACAATCATTTTTTCTCTGAGGCCAAAGTCTGTGGTTTGATCATCTTAGCAGCTTCCAGAACAGAAAGTAAGTTTACTTTGTCTCCAAACTCTTTCTCTCGGTGCTCAAGAAGAATGCCCTAAAAGGAAACAAGAGGTAATGTCAGTCCTCATCCTAAATCGTTCGTTCATGAGACAGGCATCAAGGACCAGCTGTCTGTCAAGCCTTTTGCTTGAACAGCAAAGGACACAGATCCAAATATGGCCTGGCTCCTGCCCTCAAGGAGTTCAGTCTTTGAGGGAAGATAGACTGGGGAAGGCCACATCTATCTGGCCTGTACCAGCAGCTCCCAAGAAGCAGGAAGTCAGAAGTGATAAAGCACGACAAGGACAAGCAGGGAAGGCCTCACAGATGATAAAGCATGGAGGGTAACCAGGATGTTTACAGGAAGAGAAGCAGGTAAAAGAACATACCAGGTGAAGAGAAAAAAAAAATGAAGCTAACACAGAAAGGCCCAAAGGTGTGGAAGTGGAGCTCAGAGGTTAGACTTCAGAAGGCACTGAACGACCATCTAAAAGAGAGATACTCTTTTTCCTTTAGTCTCCTAAGAAACTGGAAGCCACTTTCTTCTCATACAGTGAAGAAAAATGCACTAAGACGCAGGATACCCCAAAGTTATCTAAAGTCAGAAGTGGTAAAAAAAAAAAAAAAAAAAAAAAAGACAAAATAACATGTTTGAGATCAGCATCAAGGAATCCTTGTTCGAGTTCTTTGATTCATTACATCTGGAAGCTCATCTTAAAAAGAAAATCTGTAAATACACTGTGTCATTATTTACAGAGACTTTAAAAAAAAAAAGTCCCACCACACTATGGTGATTATGGGGAAGCAGATCAGAAAATTATATTTACTTGCTCAATAAACCTAATACAGACATTAAAAACACTAATAGGCTGGGTGCAGTGGCTCACACCTGTAATCTCAGCACTTTGGGAGGCTGAGGTGGGTGGATCACTTGAGGTCAGGAATTCGAGACTAGCCTGGCCAACATGGTGAAACTCAGTCTCTACTAAAAATACAAAAATTAGCTGGGTATGGTGGCTCAAGCCTTTAGTCCCAGCTATTCAGGAGGCTGAGGCAGGATAATCCCTTGAACCTGGGAGGCTGGAGTGCAGTGAGCCAAGATCATGCCACTGCACTCCAGCCTGGGTGACAGAGCGAGACTCCATCTAAAAAACAAAACAAAACAAAACAAAACACCAACAAAAAACTAAGAATATAATAATGACATAGGAAAATGTTCACAATATACTGTTAAATGAAAAAAGAACATCTAGTTTAGTAAGGTATAATTTTCTAAAGCAAAGCAAAACAAAAGGAAAGTTCACTCAGCTTTGTTCCAATGGATTGTCCATGGTGGTTGAGCTCATAGGATGGTTTTCCCCACCTTCTAATATTCTGCTGTTTTTAAATTTTCTGTAGTGCAAATACACTTTTTATTTATTTAGAGATAGGGTCTTGCTCTGTTTCCCAGGCTGTAGTTCAGTGGTGCGATCATAGCTTACTGCAGCCTTGAACTCCTGTGCTCAAGAAATCCTCCTGCTTCAGCTTCCCAAATAGCCAGGACTACAGGTGCATGCCACCACGCCGGCTAAACTTTTTTATTCTTTATAGAGATGGGGTTTTGCTATGTTGCCCAGCTACTTCTTCTTTAAGAATGCTTTCAAGATTGTTATTAAAAAGAAAATTCAGGTCAGGTATGGCGGCTCACGCCTATAATCCCAGCACTTTGGGAGGCCGAGGCGGGTAGATCACTTGAGGTCAGGAGCTTGAGACCAGTCTGGCCAACATGGTGAAACCCTGTCTCTACTAAAAATACAAAAATTAGCTGGGCAAGGTGGCAGGTGCCTGTAATCCCAGCTACTCATGAGGCTGAGGCAGGAGAATTGCTTGAATCCGGGGGGTGGAGGTTGCAGTGAGCTGAGATCGTGCCATTGCACTCCAGCCTGGGCAACAAGAGTGAAACTGTCTCAAAAAAAAAAAAAAAAAGGAAATCCCCACCACCCCAATTTTAGACTACAACACCTCTGCACCCAACAAGAACTGAGGTAAGTCCTGAAGTTCAGCTAGCCAGTTAACCTTCCACCTGGGAGAATGAACGCCAGGGGCTCCAGGGAATACCAACAAAGTCAAACACACCTAGCAACATCAGAAACGTGCCAGTAGGGCCCATGAGCACCAGATGAGTCATCACCAGGCAAGATAAGGCTGGCAGGCATGCCAAGCCCTGCCCTAGAGGCCATGTGAAGGCAGAGGCGGGTAGGGGAAGGAACCCCACAGTGTCCGAGTGGGAAGAGGATGGGCAATCCACTGGGGAAGTGGCCTGCCCAAGCATAAGGATATCAGGAAGTGGTCGCTAGGAAACACCTCCAAGGAGAGGCTAGGGGCCAGGCAGGACAGGGCAGGGTCTCCGGAGTTTGACAGATTTGAGTTCTTAAGTTTCATTTCCATTGTACCACTTAGCTGTGTCTTTGGCTGAGTTATTTTAAATCTCTAGGCCCACTGCTGTATATGTAGATGGGAATAAAAATGCCTAACATCCTAGATTGGTTGTGAGGAAGACACGAGATCATGTACTTAAGCACGTAGAACAAGACAGGCACTCATTGGTAACCATTATTACTAAGACATTTTGACAGATTTACCAGAAAATTAGCAAATAGGTTTATGATAAATCAGACACCATTTTATGCTTAATTCTAATACAGTCAAGCGAATCAGTTACCAAGCTGTAAAAGGAAGATGTAAGAAATAAAGCTTAGGCCAGGTGTGGTAGCTCATGCCTGTAATTCCAGCACTTTGGGAGGCCGAGGCGGGTGGATCACGAGGTCAGAAGATGGAGACCATCCTGGCTAACATGGTGAAACCCTGTCTCTACTGAAAATACAAACTAACTAGCTGGGCGTGGTGGCGGGTGCCTATAGTCCCAGCTACTTGGGAGGCTGAGGCAGGAGAATGGCGTGAACCCAGGAGGTGGAGCTTGCAGTGAGCCGAGATTGCACCACTGCACTCCAGCCTGGGCGACACAGTGAGATTCCGTCTCAAAAAAAAAAAAAAAAAAAAAAAGAAAGCTTAAACTTGAAGGATTTCTATTCCCTTTTATTCCTCCCAAATTGGGAAGAGTATGTAATTATCAACATTAATGGTGAGATCCAACAATGCAGATAAACCCCATCTTTCTACAGAAAGAAAACACTTTCTACACATTAATGTCATGTCCAAAATTGACAGAGACAGGCCTAGAAGTCAGGCCACCAGTTTCCAGGTCCTTCTCCCATACCCTTTGCTCATCCACTTGCTTTTTTGAGAGGGAGTCTTGCTCCGTCGCCTAGGCTGGAGTTCAGTGGTACAATCTCAGCTTACTGTAGCCTCCACCTTCTGGGTTCAAGCGATTCTGCTGCCTCAGCCTCCCAAGTAGCTGGGACTACGGACGTGTGCACCACTACACCCGGCTAATTTTTTAAGTTTTTCTTTAGTAGAGATGGGATATTGCCATGTTGGCCGATCTGGTCTGGTCTGGAACTCCTGGCCTCAAGTGATCCGCCCGCTTTGGCCTCCCAAAGTGCTGGGGTTACAGGTGTGAGCCACCACGCCCAGCCCTCTCATCCACTTTGCCCCATTCCTGCTACACACCCTCCTGGCCTCTGCTGACACTGCCCTCCAGGGCAGGGGAGCCACCATGGCTCAGGGCTGCCTAGACCCTGACACAAACAACTGCCAACCTGGCTCTTGGGCCTACAGAGACCCCATTCCTCCTTTCCACACCTTTCCCTAGGGCTCCATGCTGCTTGTGGAGCCTTACAGTCAGGACCTGATATAACAGCCTGTTTGCAGAGGAGTCAGATACCTTTCCTAGGCCAGCCCTGACACCAAGATCCCCATAGGAAAAAGCATCATCTCCCCGCCACCTCCTTGCCACTTCCCCTAATTAGGCCTGCTTCTATTCCTTATTTTCTCCTCTTATTTCTTTTCTATCATCCATCCATGGTGGCCTGGAACACTGCAAGGGAATAAATTCAAAAACAATAAAACTATGCTTTTGTTCAAGCACAGAAAACAAAACTTAAAGTCAGAAAACCTGGGTTCAGGCCCCAGCAGTGCCACTGATGAGCTGTGCTCCTTGTGCAGCTGCTCATCCCTTCTCAGTTCTAAGTTCCTTATCTGAAAAACGATCAAACTGTCTCATGGTGTCACTGTGATGAGTGAGTAGATTCAAGTATGAGGTACTAGCAGAGAAAGATGTGTGATAAACAACAACTGCCTTCCCTTCCCTTCTTCATGTTCCCTGGCTTGCTAGAAGGAAGGCTAGGAGACCCAAAACAGGGAAAGTCAAAACCCACTCCAGCCTCTGGTTGGGGTCTCACGCTCACAGACACAGACACCTACAGACCACAAGTAAACACCAAGAACTCACCTGCTTTCCTGATCCCACCACGAAAACTCCCCCAAGGATGAAGCCTTCTCCTTCCAGGTTTCCAGAGAAGCCTCCATTCCAGGCTCGGAAGAAGTTGTACCACACTCCCAGACGGATAAATCCCATAAACATCATCTTCCGCCTTTGTGGACCATAAAACTTTTTCTGTGGAGTGAGAAAGACAGATCCCATATGAGTACTCTACGTGCCTGCCTTCCTCAAGCAGGAAAGGCTACCGACGGAGCACTGGTACTCAGGCAAAGACTCAAAAGGCTGCTGGTTCCAGTCTTCTCTCCCACCCAACACACACACACTGCCCACATCCAGGTCCACTCTTTTTTTTTTTTTTTTTTTTTGAGATAGAGTCTTGCTCTGTCACCCAGGCTAGAGTACAATGGTGCAATCTCAGCTGACTGCAATCTCCACCTCCTAGGTTCAAACGATTCTCTTGTCTCAGCCTCCCAAGTAGCTAGGATTACAAGTGCCCGCCACCACACCCAGCTAATTTTTGAATTTTTAGCAGAGACAGGGTTTCACACATTGGCCAGGCTGGTCTTGAACTCCTGACCACAAGTGATCTGCCCACCTCGGCCTCCCAAAGAGCTGAGATTACAGGCATGAGCCACAATGCCCAGCCAATACAGGTCCATTCTCAACTGCCAAGGAAACAGAACTCTGCTGGGTCCAGTTTCTGACCTCAAGGTAGGCCCGACCTAGGGTGACACCCATAGCTTTCAATTCTGACTCTACCTTCTCACTAGCCTTCCACCTGACAGGATGGTAACAGTGCTACCTTCTGCAGAGGTGGGAGCAGAAGAGAAAGAAAGAAATGAATTAAGGGACAGGGTGTGGGGCTTTGCACTAGGCCCCCAACAGTGGAGGAACCTGTTGGAGTTTCAGCTATTTCCTACTCTCCCAGTTCACACGGCAGGAAAGGCTTAAGTAATACAGATGCTCCTCAACTTACAATGGGATTATGTCCCTGTAAACCCAACATAAGTTGAAATATCTTATATTGAAATGCATTTAATACACCTAACCTCATAGCTTAGCCTACACTACCTTAAACATGCTCAGAACACTTTCATTAATCTACAGTTGAATAAAATCATGTAACACAAGCCTATTTTATAATGAAGTGTTGAATAACGTATGTAGTTTATTGAATATTGAATGTGAAAAACAGAATGGCTCTATGGGTTCTTGAAGAAATGAAGAAACTAAAAGCTTATCACTTCTGCACCATCACAAAGCTGAAATATCGTAAGTCAAACCATCAGATGGTCAGGGACTGTCTGTAACTGAGAGGACACCTTTAAAATGTCTGATCATGCTCTGCTCAGGGGGCTGAAAAAAGGCCTTGCAAGTTCAGGACAGCTGAAGGGAAGGCCAGCCTCCAGCTCCAGGTCAGACATACCTGGGCCACCCGACTATCACACAGCTGAGCACAATCCCTAGCACTCTGTGTCTAAAAGCCTGCCAGCACACACACCTTTTCATCCAGGAAGATTTCTCCTTTGAAATAAGGCTGGAAATCCTCCACTTCGGTCCTGATGTGCTCCTTTACCACTGCATAGAGGGGGACGCCCAGCTGGTCCAACATGCTTTTCAGGGAAGACAGATCCGCAGCTTCCTGTGGAAGACACAACAGTTCAGGGACATCTGTGCCAGCTGGCTGTGGGCCTCCACATAGGGTGTCAGATTTCCTCCGCAGCCCAGGCTCCTTGTCTTCTCCAGTGGGAAGCAGAAGCAAGGCTCCTGTTATGGCTGTCCTAACCATAGCCTGGGCGCAGCCATACCCAAACACAACCTCTCCTCCTGCCCACAATGCTTCTCTCCTGCCTCATCTCCCAGCCCCTTCCCTGCACTAGACCAAACTAACACAAGGGCCCAGCCAGACACACGCTCCTTTGGCCATAACCTTCCTTCTCTCTTCAGCTCAAACCTACCCTCTGGAAAGGTATCCCTGTTCTAAAAAGATCTCCCGGCTAGTCCACCCTGAAGTAAAGCTCTGCTTTTCTGTGCATATCCTATCTTCCCTGTTTGGTGACATTTTCTGTACTAAGTCTGCATGTTACCACTAAGTTGAATGTTGTCTCTTAAATTCCCAAATGTTTCTAATAGTTAGAAACTATGTCTTCCATTTCTTGGAACCCTCAGTGCCTAGAACATGGCTGGGTGTAAAACAGGTGCTAAATACCAGGTGGAAAGATTTGAAGGGGGACAATGGGGAGAATGCAGCTGAGCTGAGATGCAGACACCCTCGACTCTCAGGAACTGTGAGCTAGATGAATGAGGGAAACTGCATGAGTCATGGTAAAGCTTCAATATTAAGAACTCAATTTTTTTTCACATTTGGTGTCAGAATTAAAAGAATGAGCGGCAAATCCTTTTAAATGCAATCTACTCATCTCCAATACAAATACGCTGTTGTATGGTTGCAACTACATTTAATTTTTCATTTGTTTTCTAGAGTAAGAAAAAAGACAACTAATGAGGCAGAACTGATTACATTTATCAAGAGTTTTAGTGACTGGCAAATTTTGCCCTAGAGCAGAGGACTACAATGTTTGATATAATCAAAAACCACCTTTTTGTGATATGAAAGGTCTTTTTTGAGATGGAGTCTTGCTCTGTCGCCTATGCTATTCGCCCATGCTGGAGTGCAGTGGCACAATCTCAGGTCAATGCAACCTCCACCTCCTGGATTCAAGTGATTCTCACGCCTCAGCCTCCTAAGTAACTGGGATTACAGGGGCGCACCACCACACCTGGCTGATTTTCTGTATTTTTAGCAGAGATGGGGTTTTGTCATGTTGGCTAGGCTGGTCTTGAACTCCTGACCTCAAGTGATCCACCTGCCTTGGTCTCCCAAAGTGCTGGGAGTACAAGTGTGAGCCACCGCACCTGGCCTTTTTTTTTTTTTTTTCCAGTCTTGCCCTGTTGCCTAGCTACAGTGGCACAATCATAGCTCACTGCAGCCCTGAACTCCTGGGCTCAAGCAATCCTCCTGCCTCGGCCTCCTGAGAAGCTGGGACTACAAGTGCACACCACCATGCTTGGCTAATTTTTTTTTTCTTTTTTTTAAAGAGAAACAGGGTCTCGCTATGTTGCCTAGGGTGGTCTCAAATTCCTGGGCTCAAGTTGATCTTCCCACCTCAGCCTTCCAAAGTGCTGGGATTATAGGCGTGAGCCACTGCACCTGGCTGAGATGAAAGGTCTTACTCACTTTTCCTGGCTCTTTACTCCTGGTGTGGCACTATACAAAGGCATGATGTGGAAACTGAGTCACATACCTGCTATTTGGGCCACTCAAAATAACTCAGACTGCCATCCACCCATCTTTTTGGAAATGTAAGTTTCCATTAAATGTTCTATGTGGGCACAGATCAATACAGAGGGAAACAGATTATAATTAGGGAGAGCTGTTGCTCTTGGAACCTTCTGGATTTTAATGGCCCCGAGAAATCAAGTCAAAACAGGCTTCCATGCTGTAGCTGACTTGTCAGCCATTGCTGACTTAAAAATAGAGGAAGGGGCCATAAGCCAATATACATAGGTGACCTCTAGCAGCTGGAAAAGGCAAAAGAAATGGATTCTCCCCTATAGCCTTCAGAAAGAATGCAACCAGTTTCCACTTTGAAATTCTGACCTCTAGAGCTACAAGATAAATCTGTGCTGGTTAAAGCCATTGAGTTTGAGGTAATTTGTTACAGCAATAGGAAATTAATACATCTCCCTGATCAAGGTGGCTTTGTTACAACCTCTGTAACTGTTTCCTCCTCTGTAACAAAAATTAATAAAATGAGAGTAAAACAACAAGCTGTATTTCCAAGGGCCACGGTGAGGACCCACTGAGATAGCAGGCACACAGTGCCCTGGGGGTAGGGTACTGCAGGCATCACATGCATCCAGCAGCGCAAGTGGATTCTTCACCAGCCCAATTACACAAGCATGGAGAGATCGGCAAGGCTGAAAGGTGGTGCCTCAGGGAACGAGAAGAATGACGATGACAATTTGGACAGGGCCACAGCCACTGCTTGAGATGCAAAGTTGTATCAAGAGCAGGAACACTGTTATTCCCAGTTTTCTCCCAGGGAGGGCAGTAATTTCAGAATCTGGGTCTTCTGCCACTGACAGGCTGTGTGATCACAAACAGGCCACTAACCATTCCGGTCCTCAGTTTGCCCACCTACAAAGGGACAAGGCTAGATCCAAGTATTTGCAATGTTCCTTCTGACACTAGCATTTTGTGTTTCAACAATCACAGTTCCTTCCTTCCATTGATAAGCTCCATTACATATAAATAGATGATGTCTTCCCCTCAAGGGGCCAACCTGGAGACCACCCAGTCAGTGAGCTCCAACTTTCAACAAACTCTCATGCCAAATGCACTACTGGCATGAATAAAATCCCACTGAGCTACAGATTCAATGCCAAGAGCACACAGCAAGGAGGCAGAGCTAACATGTGAGTATGTGGCTCTCAGTTGTCTACGATGGACTCTAGGAGCTCCCCAAGGAGACAGAGACAGGCAGATCTGCTCTAATAGGTGACCTTGAAGTGTTTCCTCTGACACTGCAGCTTCATCACAGGGAGGGACTGATCACACCCGAATCAGGAGGAATCGAGGCACCTCGTATGTCTGTGATGAGCATCAGAAGCACGGAATTGGACCTGGTCGCTGCCCCTGATTAAACTGGAAGATGGTCCAGGACTCAGAAGGTATAGCACAGGGTGAAAGGCTTGGGAGTACTAAGGGAAAGTCAGATGTGTTGCTAACCCCAGTAGGAGAGGGCGAGTTGTTAAAAAACAAACAAACAAACAAAAAACAGAAATAGAGCACAAATCAAAAGAAATACCTAGAGCAAATAACAGAACAGACCATGTGGGTAAAAGGCTAAAGCTGGCTTACGGGCCCTCAGTTCTGGCCAGAAAACAATGGCCCCTACTTGCCAGGATCGTTCTCTGAATATATCTCATCTGCACTCACCTCTCGACAGAGGAAACAGCCTGGCCTCCGCACGGCCATAATCACAGCTCCATTTTTTTCCCATAGCTCCTTTGCTTTCAAAGTCCTTGGTTCTAAGGGAGAAAAAAAGGAAATTCGGTATCTCCTCCTGGCCCAGCCCCAATCACTAAGCAGCTCACGAACCACACTAAGTCCAGCTGAGGTCAGAGACCCGGGCCTAGCAGAGGACCTGGACAGGCATTTCACACGTGGGGAAAAACACACAGGAAACACAGACGGAATACTCACCTTCCTGAGGAAAGTTAACCAAGCTTAAGAATCCTATTATATATCCAGTAGGTCCCTCCCACCATGAAAATCTTTTTTCCAACCTGAACATTCAGAAGTGGGACGTTTCTGGAAAAATGGCCATTTTGTCTATTGCCGATGTCATCAGATATTGTATAATAATCCTTTAGAACAGAAACATGGTCCAAACTGAGTCTCAAATTTTTAACCTAAATATGGTAACTGCAATATTATTAACAGAGGAGGATAGAAGATGCCTAGGAATAAAATGCTTTGGGGTAGTAGAGTACTGTAGTTCAAGCCCAGCTCTAAGGTCCAACTAAGTCTGAATCTAGCTGTGTAACCCTAGGCAAGTTATTTTTGCTCTTTGAACCTCAGCTTCCTCATTTGTAAAATGCAAATATCTAGTAGTTCCACTTTGGGCTACAGGGCATATTGAAAGATGAATATAAAAGTGCTCACCACAATGTCTGGTAATATAGAGTTGGTGAGGGCTCAATAAATATGAGCCCTTATTATTTTAGTATTTCCCAGAGGGACCCATATTCCCGTGGATGTTATGTGGGAAAAAAAAAGTGGGGTCAGGTGGGTGAAAGGGTGAGGAGAAGAGTCTGTAATCAAATAAGTAAGATTGGGAAATCCTGGATTGAACAAAGCTTAACAGGTCTCTCTCAGTACCTTACTAAGGTGACCTACTCTAAACCTGTACAACCTCCTGCCTTCCTTTGGCAAGCTTCCTTACTTACTAAACAGATGACGATGACTTCCACCTGGGGGGCTAACACGGTGACCACGCCATCAATGAGACCTTCACCACTCCAACTCTCTTGCCACACCACTGGCATGACTGAAATCCCACCAAGCTACAGCTCTAACACTGAGAGCACACAGCAAGGAGGCAGAGCTAACACATTTGAGTGTGTGGCTCTAAGCTGTCCACAGTGGACTCTTAGTGGTCCCCCAGAAGAGGGAGACAGGCAGGTTTGCTCTAACGGGCGACCGTGAAGTGATTCCTCAGACACCGCAGCTTCTTCACAGGGAGAGGCTGGCCATGCCTGAATCAGCAGCAATCCAGACACCTCGTTCTAAAAAGCATATGTCTGTGCTGAGCATCAGGAGCATGGAATTGGATAAAAGGTGTCTCTCATACTTGTTCACTCAGAACTCCTTTCAGTTTGACGATCCCACAAGCCTGGAATTCCTCAGAATACACTCTGGAAGTACTGGTTTAGTAAAAGATTGTAATTATTACTAAATATTATGGAGCAATTTATCATTATAGTTACAGAGGCAACAACAGAGAATGAAAAATGCTTTTGATAAGAAAAGCTAAAATATAAAACAGCGCCCAAGCCAAGCACAACTATGTAATATGTACACATGGAAAGGAATATGCCAAAACATAAATTACTGTGTTAGGGTAATAGAATTATTGCTAGTTTAAAAATTGTTATTAAATTTTTCCTAATGTTGTTATATTATCTTTTCAATTAAAAAAAGGAGAGAGTTTAGAAAGAAAACAGTAAGTAAGCCTGTATCTCAGCTCCTTGGAAAAGTACTGAGACCTGAAGGGTCACCACTTACCCTTCTCCAGTGTTTTCAGGTCTATATCCTCCAGGTACTCCAGGGCTGCTTTCTGGGGCTTGGACAGAAACACGTCTGTGTTGGCAAGAAGCAATGCCAAGGCAGCAGCCCCCAGGGCTCCTGCACCAATGGACCACATCCCCATGGTGAAGAAACTTGGGTCCTGGAGGAAAGACATTTCTGGAGATTGAGAAGAAGGAAGAAGGCGTTACTGCTCCCACAGGGTAGCTGGAATTTCATCTTCCAGGCAAGGCTCTGGCAGGACAGCCAACCAGGAGGTCAGGACAGAGGAGGGGAGCAGCAGTGTCAGAGGCGAGACTGGACAAGGGCTGCTAAGCACCTACTGCCACCAGAACTTGGGGATGCAGCACACACATGGAGGTTCCTGCACCATGGAGCTCACCAGGGCATCAGGAGTGATGACAGAGAAAGGACAGCCGTCTCAATTGCTTATCTTGCTGCTCTCTCTTCTCATGCCCCAGGCTGCAGCCCCCAGCTCCTGTGGAGCTGTGCCGAACTATGTCCCCTGTAGGCAGACTACTTCCTCATTCCCCTCCTCATCAATGCCTAATTCTCCCTCACAATCCAGGTGGCTCAGGATCACGTGCCTGGGTAGGGGCAGCTTTCTCTTCTGTGATCAGAGGATACTCAGAACACCAACCACACTGTTTTGTTCCCCTATCTTCTTTCCTCTTTAGTTTGAGGACCCTCCAGAAACAAGGACCATACCCTGGTCATTAAGCCCCCAGCCAGTGCCCAGCAGGGCCTCATTCATTATAGGCAGGTAGTAATTTCTCCCAATTGAGAAAAGCTTTATTTCTGCCTCATTATATAAACAAAATAGGCTTATAGTAAAAAAACAAAATGAAGAGAATACATGAAACCATAGTTGATGAGAAAGCAAATACTCTCTGAAGCTACCACCTACTGATGGCCACTGTTAAACACTGGTGTTTAGTAATCTGACTTTTTTCTCCTGTGAACAGAACTACACAGATGTCTGCCAAACAAATGCAGGTGTTATATCAGAAAGAGGAGGTCCTGGCAGGGCACGGTGGCTCATGCCTGTAAACCCAGAACTTTGGGAGACCGAGGTGGGTGGATCACGAGGTCACGAGATCAAGACCATCCTGGCTAACATAGTGAAAACCCTGTCTCTACTAAAAATACAAAAATTAGCTGGGCATGGTGGCGCACGCCTGTAATCCCGCTATTCGGGAGGCTGAGGCAGGAGAATCGCCTGAAACCGGGAGGCAGAGGTTGCAGTGAGCTGAGATCGTGCCACTGCACTTCAGTCTGGTGACAGAGCAAGACTCAGCCTCAAAAAAAGAAAAAGAAAAAGAAAAGAAAAGAGGAGGTCCTATGGCATCTGCAGAGGAGGCTGGGCAAAAGACAGCTGCATAAGGTAAGGGTCTCTGCAACTGAAATGGAGCTCCAGGCGGGTTCTGTCAGAATTCAGCCTTGTTCCTGACTTCTGCCTGGGTGCCTGAGGCTCTCTCCAGCTAGGAAGACTTTGTGCCTGTGGGTGGGAGCTCCTGGAAGGAGCCCACAAGGTACCCCCACCTCCAGCCTTCCTTCTCCCAACAACCACTTACAATGTCTATCTTTCCAGTTGGTCCTCACGCCATCCTAAGCTCTGGCATACCCTGGTGCCTTCCTCCCTAAGTACCAGCCTGCTTCTGTGTGCTTAGATCACTGGGGATAGGCCTGGGAGTGGGTAATTGTGTGGCCCACCTGACCCCAGCCCATCGAACCTCCAGCTCAAGTCTCCCCTGCAGGACTTGGCCAGGAGAGGATGTCTCCAAAGGATCAGGAAAGGCCCTGGAAATCCGAATGTCAGTGCCAAGGGTGGGGGCTGTGAGAGGTGCACTGCATGAGGTGGGGGTGGGAGTGAGTTGGTGGTGACTTTGGGAAGGAAAGGGTAGGCCAGACTAGCACTGAAGCCACCTGGAAATTCAGATTTAAGAAATAAAAGAGGCAGCCATAAAAAAGAATGAAATCATGTCCTTTGCAACAACATGGGTGGAGATGGAGACCATCAGCCTAAGTGAACTAACCCAGAAACAGAAAATCAAATACCACATGTTCTCATTTACAAGTGGGAGCTAATCAATAGTACACATGGACATAAAGATGGAAATAATAGACACTGGGGACTGCTGAAGAGGGGAGGGTGGGGGACAAGGTGGGGTGAAAATTACCTATCAGGTATAAGGGTCACTATTTGGATAACGGGTACACTAGAAGCCCAGTCTCCATCACTACACAATATACCCATGTAACAAATATGCATATATACCCCATGAATCTAAAATAATTTTTTTTTAAAAGGAATGAGAGAGAACCTTGGTTGAGAACAGTGGCTCATGCCTGTAATCTCAGCATTTTGGGAGGCTGAGGCAAGAGGGTTGCTTGAGCCCAGGAGTTTGAAACAAGCTTGGACAACATGGGAGGACCTTGTCTATACAAAATTAGCTGGGCGTGGTGGCACATGCCTGTGGTCTCCGCTACTTGGGAGGCTGAGGTGGGAGGATCACTTTAGCCCAGAACTCCAGCCTAGGTGACAGAGCAAGACCTTGTCTTTAAAAAAGAAAAAAAAAAAAAGAAAAAAAGAAGTTCCAGGTAAGCGGGGTAACCAAACAAAAACAACATCTAAGAAAGAGGAATTTGGCATCTATACACTTGGGAAGAGGAAAAAGAAGGGGAAAATCAGTGCGTGTGTGTGTTGGGGAAGGGGGTGCTGTTATGGTGTGTCTGACATGAGGGACCTGTGCTGAGAAAGAAGAGTTTCTTACTACCCACTATTCAAAATGTAACCCATAAATGGCACCATCTACAAACACAGAATCTCAACCCCCACCTTCGAACTAAGCAATCTTACACTGCCTTTTAGTTGGACTGGCAGACAATTAATTCATAAGCACATTAAAGTTTGAGAAGCATTGTGTTAGAGCAAAGAATTCAGGACTTCGTGCTTGGTTGGCCATCAGCCGCCAGAATAAAGTCAAGTCACGAGGGCGGTCTGGCCTTGGAGAGCTGGGCCCTCTGCCAAGACCCTGAGAACGGAACATTACAGACATGCACACATCTCTACCCCTCTGCCTGGAATATCCTATTTCATTCTGTGCTTCACGACTCAAAGGCCTCTTTAAGAAGGCTTCCCTGATGTTCTGCCAGCTCCCTACTTTCAGCCTCCCACTTCTACCCCCAAGAGGTGTTGATTCACCCCCTCCTCAGTTCTGTGTCCAAACATCACCCACATTTCTCCTGATGTGCTTGACACACCGGTTTGGACCTGTCAGATTTCTCTCCTTTGAGGACATTCTGCAGTTTATCTCTGAATCTCTCATGCCTAGCACAGCGCACATCTGGTACAAAGCAGGCTCACCACAAGTGCATGCTGAAAGGTATTCAACAGAATTGAATGACAAAGACAATGGCTTATGGACAACCAAAGTTCTTGGGACAAACAGGAAAGAACCTGACACAGGCCTGTTTCCAATTCTTTAATTTGGCAAGTTACGCATTACTGGATTATAGTTCACAGAACAATTAGGGGGAAAACCACAGCTCTTATCTCTTGCTGTAAATAAGAAATTTCCCAGAGCCTGGAACAACTTCTGTACCTTTATGCATTTCCAAAATGTTTCTGGATTTCTGACTTGTGTGTATGACTCAGGAGCACATGGAATGGTCTCTGATCACAGATTTGATGGGCATTTCTATGTCAGTATACAAAGACGAGCTTACATCCACCCCACAAATGGACTCTCTCTGAGTCCTAGGACACATCAGTGCATTCAGATAGTCCAGGGCCCCTCACAGTCAGCTCCACATTCTTCCAACACACCCCTGCACTCAGAGGCAAACAGCCTCCACCTTCCCACTGCCCAGTGATGGGCGTTTGGCATGTTTGCTCCTAGGCACAAGGGAATTCAACTCAACTAGACCCAACATTTATTTCCAAACATTTATTCAGCACTGACCTGTTCAATAAATGATGATTTGGGAGGACATAAAATGATACACAATCCGCAAGAAAATATAGACCTGGCACACAAATAACAAAAAAATCAAGTGGGAAGGTGAGGCAGCTTGGGCAAGGTATGGGCATGAGGCTATGGTGGTGCAGGAATGACAGCCAGTCTGGGTAGCCACAGAAGCACCCAGAAGGAAGTGGCTTTGGAGCCGGTATAGGACACAGGAGGCAGCATGGACAGGCTACGTCGGGATGGGGCCAGCTAAGCTGGGAGACAGCAGGCTGACTGGGGCAGGTGTCAGTGCTGAAGGAGCCCTGAGAACTCAAACTTCTATGTTCCAAAGACCCCCATCTCCATACCTCAAGTTCAAGGGCTGGGTACAAGATCCAGACCGCAAAACCCCCAGAAGTGCTGTCTTCCAACCTCCCACTGTGATCCTGGAAGTGTGAGCAGAGAATCAGCCCTCTGGGGCGGTGGACCCCATCCTCAGGCACTCTCACCATGCTGAGAGTGTTATCAGGACCAGTGGTGAGCGTCAGGCCTCTCCACGGACCAAACTCACCCAGTGGGCCTCTAGCAGCCCAGTCTTGTGCCAGAGAGCAGCACAGAAAATTCACTTTCAGGAATACCTGGCGAGCACACAGGCCTAGCCTCTTACCCAAGGCCCTGGGCTACAAAGCAGCTCCCATCCTGGCAAGTCTTGAAGCATGTACTACTGTGACTTGCTGCACAGTGAGCAGACCCCGAATTCTGAAATCACAATTATTCCTAGGCACAAAAAAGGACAATCAAAGGAACTTTAATTTCTAAACAGAAACGATGCATTTTCACATGGTCCTCTAAGATTGCAGAGATAGGCAGGCCAGCAATCCTTCGTACCTCTGCAGTCAGTGGTCTTAGAAGCCAGTCAGTAATGGCCTAATTTCATTCACTCAACAGTCTTGTGATGGAAAGAGTATCCTGTTTAGCAGCTAACGCTGAGGTTCAGAGTTCAGTAACTTCCCCTGTGTCACAGAGCCAGCAGGCAGCGGTACTATAACCTGGACCCGAGTCAACAGGAATCGGACTCCAAAGCTTGAAAGACTACCTTTCCTCCCCACACGTTCAGAAGTGGGTTTACATCTGCTATAATTGTTGATTAACAAAGAAAAAAAGAAAGAAGTGGGTCCTGGAGATCCAGGAGTATGATTCCCTTTGTCTTAAAGAGAACTTTTTTTAATCACCTTATTTTTTCAGTCATCATGTACAGTCAAACCCTGTTTACTCTAAAGGAAATTTACCATATACCAGATGTTCCTTCTCTTTCCTCCCCCTTTCTATCCCCCTTCTATTAAGGAAAGGGTCAGTTTCTCTGGAACAGAATAGTAGGGTTGTTTACAGAAGAGCCAGCCCCCACCTGACACAGCTATAGCATTCATTTCCCCACTGCTGGGCTTATCTCATCCACCCTCTCCCACAGAAGATGAAGCAGGATAAAGCCACAAACAAACAACAGCTGTGGCAGCTCAGAGTGGAAGCTCTGGTCTGAACATGGGGGCAAGAGGAGGAGACCCAGTGGGGCTCCCTAGGCTAAGCTGAGTCAATTCCTCCCCAGGTCTCATTTTTTTTTTCAACTCCATGAGGAGGTTCCTAATGATCCCCAGTGACATCCCAAGAGTCTAATAAAAACAGGTCACTTTGGAGTCAGAACATTCTAGGTTCCTCACCACCACCCCCACCCCCAATTTCAGTTTCCAGCTTTGAGACCCTGTCTTTTCCCTAGATAAGGCAACTCCCCTCCTCACATGGTCTCCTACCCCCAACCTCGGACACTTCAAACTTGGGAACAAGGTACTCACCATCCACAGCGTCCACACCTCTGCTTCTCCTGACAAAGAAGCATACCCAGGGGTGAGCAGGCGGGCCTGGGCAGGCAGCAAGGGGAGGGCTGGAGGCGGGACTAGGTCCCTAGGCTCAGTCACTCCACAGGCAGGACCAGGCCACCCAGAAACCCTGGGGCTCCTTCAGCTGCCAACAGCCAGTCTCCAGAAAACATCTAAGTGGAAAGCTGCCAAGGCCCCCTAGACCTTCAAAAAGTTGAGCAAAGCTTTCAGTCATTTGCAGTCACGCAGATTATAACATTTCCCAAGTGCCACCAGACTCCTTCTCTGCTATCCAGTGCAGACTAAAGAAGCAACGCACGCACACAGCCCACATGTCACACTAGTGCAAATAAAAGATGTCCCTTTCTCTGTGGCTCCTTATGCAGCCTGTTCCCTTGCCCCATTTCTCACCCCAGGCCTGGAAAGTCAGCTGGCACCTCTGAGGTCCCTCACCTGCTGTCTATTCTTTACCTCCCTTTGCTTTCCCTTCCTTTTCTGCCACATCGGTGGCTTCCCTCAACCCACACTCCCTTCCTGGGTGACTTCGCCTTCCAGCACTTCACCCACCACTTTGTTATTGACTTCCAAGTTCCTATTGCTGTTCTGACCCAAAGTTTCCACTCGGGGATTTTGTAGGTATCTCTGTTGTACCACATCCAAAACTAAAGTCTACTTCTCTGCTGGAGTTCCATGGCTCAGTAGATTCGGGGTGGGGGGGCGGGGATTCACATTTTACTGTTCATTTGCCTTCACTGCCCACATCAACTCAGGAAGTTCTGTCCATCTTGTAAAATGTATCTGCTACTCATCCTCTTCTTGACCTCACTGCTGCTGTCCAAACCCAGGACCCTATAACTCTGTCCCTAGCCTATTTCAAGAACCACAGAACTGAACCTGGCTGGTTCTAGTCTGGTCCTCTATAGTTTATTTTCCATGCCGTAGTCACAGCGATCCCAGCACACCCCAACCTGATTACATCCTTGCCTTGCGTTCAGGCTCTCACTAACTCCTCAGTATGCCAGCTGATGGGGCCCTCCACAGCTTGGCTTCAGCTCACCCTTCGGGCCTCACCCCTGCCCCTGCAGCACCCTTTTCAGACCACTCCCTGTGCAAGTGTTGCTCATGTTGTTTCCTTTGCCCAGGATGCCCCCCCTACCCATGCCAACCACGTAAATGCCTACTTATTCATAAGGCCCAGCGCACATAACACTTCCTCTCCAAAGCCTTTTCTGAAAGCCCCGACAACTGACTGCTCACTCACCTCTTCTATAGCATGCATGTGTGTGCACACACACCCATAACCCTGCACAATGCACAAATGGATTTTGTAAATTTTATTTATTTACATGTCTGTCTCCACAAGATGGTGGCACAATGTGTTGTCGTCTTCATTTCTGCATCCCCGGCACTCAACACAGATCCTGGTAATTACCAGGCATTAAATGTTAATGAAATGATCTGAATTCTACTCTTAGAATTCCACAGTGTGGCAGACTTGGAACTTATAGCTACTCAATTCCAATTTCAGCTCAGTATGAAAGGTAATTTTGGACAGGGCTAGCTTGACATTAAAGAAAACACTCTAGCTTGGGACTTAGGTAACCTTAGGCCGGGTCCTTGCTCTACTGCTCACTAGCAGGGCAATCTGACTTAAGCTATGAAGACAACTCGGGGCCTGGATCTCATCATCTGTATAGACAGAGGAAGGAACTCAAAATTCCAAGAAGCTGTCTTAGCTCTGACATCCAAAGACTCTAAAGTACCATGGGACTGTAACTACAGGGATCTGATGTCCAGAAAGCCATGGGAAGCCCTGCCACCACTGTTCTCCTGCTGGGTGTGCACATTCACATTGCCTCCTTCCTGGGGCCTAACTCCTGACTGTTCCAGGAGCTGCCTCTGGGCAGGAACTGATAAAGTCTTAATGAAACAAAGTATCAGCACTGGGTGAGTTAATTCATGTCTGAAACAAGTAGAGACAGCATCATATTCTAAACATCAAGGGTACACCTGCCCAGCCCAGCCCCACCCAGGGAATCCTCCCTCTTCAGAATGAGCGGGCCTGAGGCAGAGACAAGGGAGAAGAAAGGGTGCTGAGGGAGACAAAAAAACTGAGAGTGCACATGCCTCCTTGCCTCAGGCCCTCAGTGAACAAGGCTTGAAAGGATGCTTCATCTTTCTTCTCTGATCTCCTCTGTTCCCCTCTCCTTCCCTCAAAGCTCTCAATCAGCTTCATTTTACTGAGCAAATGAAGAAACTAAAGCTCAGAGAGGGAGCTGGCTAGTCCAAGGTCACATGGGAAGGACAGGTTGTCAGTGGCTGCGCTGGGAGTCAGGTCTGGGTCTCCCAACTTCCAGTCCATAACTGTTTATCCTGCATCGGACACGATAAGTCCTGGGCAGCCAACCACAGGCCAGTGGCCTCTAAGGCTGGAAGAGCATGGGAGTTCGGGCTCAGGAAGTGGGGCCCTGCAGGTCTTGAAACCTGTTCACTGGCCTCAGGCAAGCTAAGAGCAAGACTGCCCCGGCCGGGCGCAGTGGCTCAAGCCTGTAATCCCAGCACTTTGGGAGGCCGAGACGGGCGGATCACGAGGCCAGGAGATCGAGACCATCCTGGCTAACACGGTGAAACCCCGTCTCTACTAAAAAATACAAAAAACTAGCCGGGCGCGGTGGCAGGCGCCTGTAGTCCCAACTACTCGGGAGGCTGAGGCAGGAGAATGGCGTGAACCCGGGAGGCAGAGCTTGCAGTGAGCTGAGATCCGGCCACTGCACTCCAGCCTGGGCGGCAGAGCGAGACTCCGTCTCAAAAAAAAAAAAAAAAAAAAGACTGCCCCTAAACAGGGCCTAGGAAATCTGCTGCCTGGAGAGAACATCAGCCTCTCCCTAGCCCAATCTTTGGTAAGCAGCTTATAATCTGAAGCCAAATGTCTTCTTAAGGGTCTCGTTGCCTAGTCTCCGCTGAGAAGTCATTCTGCACCTCTCCTCCCCAGAGTAACAAGACTCCGTCCATCCTTGTCTAGCAGACTGATGATGCAGGCACACAGAGCCTTATGAGCAACAGATGCCCTTCCACCCACCCTTGTCTTCAAACACCACAAAACTAGTCACTTGCAATGAGCTCTCACCTACCTGCTTCAGTCTCCAACTCTCAGCCCTGCTCCTTGGGGTGTGTATCTACCTGGTTTTGGCCCAGCCCTACTCTCAAATGCCAGGTTCAGAAACCTCTGAATAGATGCTGAAATCAGCACCAGCCCTCACATTCCTCACTCTTGGGCGTATCTTAGGGTTTCCCAGTAGCTGATTATGTCCTCTTGTTTCCTCAAGCTGTAGCGGCCCCGCAAAGAGCAAGCCATTCCAATCTCACTTGCACAACCTCCTGTCTGGGCTCCATCAAGTTACATGGGTGTGGATAGGAAGACAAGGCAATACCACAGAAGACACTGGGCTAAAAGCCAAAAATCCTGGGTTTTCTCTCTTTGAGAGTTATTTTATCCCTCTGAACCTCAGTGTCTTCTTAAAAACAAGGGTGCTTTAAAAAGTTGTCATAAAGATTATATAAGAAGGGCAATTTGCAATGCAGCAATGCACTAGAGTACTGCAAAGCAGCATTATCTTTCTCTCCTTTGCAGGGCTCAGATTCACTCATGCCCCTATAAAGACAGGATATCTGAAGCAGGACAGACACAAAATACTGAACTTGGTCTGATGGAAACACTGACTTGTCTCAGCCCCTCTGGCCTGTAGGCCTGCTCCATGCTATTCCTGTAGTAGCCAAAACTGCCTCCTGCACTAGCAGCACCAGAGAAGGCAAAGGGCACTGTTCAGTTGTAATTTCCCTGTGCCAGAGGCCACTGAGCTCAGAGGTGAGGCTGGCTCCCTGCACAGCACCTCGGGATGGTTCTTGCCACACAAGCTGCAGCGGAAAACTTGGAGCTTCTCCTCAACATTTCACAAAAAGGCGAGAATCCAACTGGCATAACAGCTGCCTTCTTTTTTTTTGAGACGGAATCTCGCTCTCCCAGTCCGGAGTGCAGTGGCTCCATCTCGGCTCACTGCAAGCTCCGCCTCCAGGGTTCATGCCAATCTCCTGCCTCAGCCTCCCAAGTAGCTGGGACTACAGGCGCCTGCCACCATGCCTGGCTAATTTTTTGTATTTTTTAGTAGAGACGGGGTTTCACTGTGTTAGCCAGGATGGTCTCAATCTCCTGACCTTGTGATCTGCCTGCCTCGGCCTCCCAAAGTTCTGGGATTACAGGCATGAGCCACCACTCCCGGCAGCCTTATTTCTTAGATAGGGATAGAGCCTGGGGCTTGAGCCCTAGAGTTCCAGTCCTATCCAAACTTTCTGAGCACCATTTAAATGATACGAGATTAGACAATCATCAGAAATGTCTTTTGTACCCCTTCAGGAGTAATGCAGAAGGTCTCAACTAAACGACATGCTCTTATAAAAGAGGGGAATATAGGAAAGGTCCACACCAACAACAACTAATAGCTAACTTTAATTCTTGCAAGCTGTATAAACCTGGACAAGGAACTGTTCTGCATCAGTAAAATGGGAATGCTTTCTTAATTACCTTCTACAGAGTTGCAAGAATCAAAGGATTAAATGTATAGGAGGTGCCTTGTGAAGTACCTCACAAAAAGTGCAATAAATACGATGTATAATTCTTTATTTCTAGAGCAATGATTACCCTCAAAACGTTATTTGCACCCAAAATGAAGTTTTCTGATGAATGAGTATGGTAAGGAGTTGGGGTTTGCAGCCGAAATCCCAACCCTCATTCTCTAAAGCTGGGCCCAAGCAAGAGCATTCAAGACTATTCAAGCTGACTCCTTCACAATGCTTTTCAAAACAAATCCTGATTATTTTCTTTTTAAAAAACCACCTGCCAGGTTCAAAGGAAAATATATTAAAATAAAACAAACAAAAAAGCTGAGTTCTGGGTTGCTGGGCTGTGGAGACAGCATGATGTGGCAAGAAAAAGAGGCGCAGGAGCAGCTGTGAACCCAGGTCCGACAGTGGACTCCGGGTGCGCCTCCTTCCCACAGCCCTGGTCCGGCTGGGCCTTAATTTCCCTTCCTTTGCCTCTAACCATCTCCACCTGCGCCTTCACCTCCCGCCCCAGCAACAACCCTGGGGGCAGATTGTATATCTACCTTTTCATTCCTAGACCTCAGCAGGGTTGTTAAGTTT